AGATGTAAGTCCTGGCCTTGAGTGAGCAATACTCTTTACTTTGTCATGTACATGTGCAGGCTTATAACAATACCCACTCCAACCACCTCCCAGGATTGGGAGCTTTGTGAGATAACAGGCACTTGAAGCACCTTGTGACTGTTAGCTGGTCCACAAGAAATGGGACCAAAGAGGGGAGTGGGGAAGAGGCTCTACAATTACAGTGTGGAGAAAGAATCATAGATGACATGACCTGCTGGGCAGATGGTGACTGCAGCCGTGAAATTAAAAGACGCTTGCTCCTTGGAAGAAAAGCTATGAGCAACCTAGACAGCATATGAGAAAGCAGAGACATTACTTTGCCAACAAAGGTCTGTCTAGTAAAAGCGATGGTTTTTCCAGTGGTCATGTATGGATATGAGAGTTGGACTATAAAGAAAATTGAGCATCGAAGAATTGATGGTTTTGAACTGTGGTGTTGGAGAAGACTTGAGAACTTGGACTGCAAGGAGATCCAACTAGACAATCCTAAAGGAAATCAGCCCTTTAGGCTGATGCTGAATATTCATTGGAAGGACTGATGCTGAAGCTGAAACTGCAGTACTTTGGCCATCTGATGTGAAGAACTGACTCACTGGAAAAGACCCTGATGCTGGGAAAGACTGAAGGCAGGAGAAGAAGGGGATGACAGAGGATGAGATGGTTGGATGGAATCACTGACTTGATGGACATGAGTTTGAGCAAGCTCTGGGTGTTGGTGATGGACAGGGATGCCTGGTGTACTGAAGTCCATGGGGTTGCAAAGAGTCGGACATGACTGAGCGACTGAAATGACTGACTGACTGACTGACTGGGTTTGGTCCCACCTGCCTGGGGCCAAAAGGTTTTGTAACACTGTACTACTGGGTTTCTAGACAGTATTTCTAGGCAGCAGGCATCCTCATCTCCACTCCTAGCCAAAGCCATCAATACCACATCATACTTTAAAACACCTAACCCTATTGCCTGACTCCCTAACCTACCTTTACCTTGGTTCAGGTCCGGATGCTATCTTACAGCTTCAGCCTCTTTCTGCCTGTGGTCTCTGACTTCCTTCCCCTGTATCCACATGGAGGGCAATTATTGCTATAAAAAAGCAAATAAGATCACATCATGTCTCTAAGAATCTCTGTTGGATAGCTAAACCTATTTATCTGTGGTGTTTCTATATCTAAAGAGGGAAACCCAGTTATGAGGCTATTGCAGTCTGGTGAGAGTTGTTGGCTGTGTGAATTGCTACACAAAATGTGGACAATGGTTATCTCTAAATATTTTGTATTCATTTATCAAACAAATATTTATTACATGCCTGCCATGTGACAGGCACGATTCTAGGCCCTGTGGACACGAGCAAACAACACAGGTACAGATCCTGCCTTCTTGCAGTTCATAGTACATAGAATGGTTTGTATTTTATAGGTCACTTTGGCCCGAGTGAAGAACTGACTATATGGGTTGGGTGGAGATGGGCATGAATGGAAGCAGGGAGCAAGGCAGGACAACAAGATATTGGCTCTGGCTGAGTTGTTGGTGGCTTGGCTATGGGTCAGATTGACTGCTCGCTGACAGATTGGCTGGATATGAAGGTGAGTAGAAGGAAGGAATCAAGGATGATTTAGGGTGGAAGATGATGCAATATGCTGAGACAACTGGGAAAGGAATAGATTTGAAAAGACAAGTTGAGTTCAGCTTTGGACATGTTAAATGAGAGATCCTAGTCACTTCAGTGGGAGATGACAAATGGCAGTTGGAGAAATCAGTCTGGAACTCCGGGAGAGGTCCTCGCTGCAGATCTACATTTGTGAGTCATCAGCATGTAAATGATATAATAGTCATGGGACTGGCAGGGAACACCAGGGAGAGAGTGTAACTAGATCAGAGAAGAGGGTGAAGGACAGCCCTTGAATATGCCAGCATTTACCAGTAGAGAAAACAGGGGCTAAGGAACCTGGAGTGAGGTTCGAGGGAAACCAGAAAGGTAAAGCTTCCCTGGCTCAGTAGAGGAAGGTGTGTCCAGATGAGGGATTTGGTCAGCTGTGCCCAACATCTCTGAGAGATGGAGTAAGACAAGGGTATAAAAGAGATAGGACTGGATAACCAACAAGGACCTACTGTATGGCACAGTACTCCATATTTTGTAATAACCTATCAAAGAATCTGAAAAATATACATATATATATAGAATTGAATATATACACAATAGTTATATATATATAAATATAAAACTGAACCACTGTGCTGTACACTGGAAACGAACATGACATTGTAAATCAACTGTTGTGCTATTGTTCTTTAGTTGCTAAGTCGTAGCCAACTCTTTGTGACCCTATGGACTGTAGCCCACCAGGCTCCTCTGTCCATGGGATTTCCCAGGCAAGAATACTGGAGAAGGTTGTCATTTCCTTCTCCAGAGGATCTTCCTGACCCAGGGATTGAACCCATGTCTCCTGCATTGGCAGGCAGATTCTTTATCTTTGAGCCACCAGGGAAGCCCAAAAATCAAATACATGTCAATAAAACATTTTAAGTGAGAAAAAAGAGATAGTAACAGAGGATTTGACAATATGCACGTTATTGTGGTGACTATGACCAAAACAGTTTTGGACCTAAGCCTGACTGGAATACAGGGAGGGGAGGGTGAGAACGCCTAGTTGGCAAGAGTACATAGCTTCTGAGAAGTTTTGCTGAGAGGCTAGATCATCGATGTTTTTGTTTTTTCTGTATATTTGTATACAGAAATTTGTATATTTGTATGTAAGTTTGTATATTCTTATTTCCCAGGAATGAACATTTAATACTTCTGTTTTATTATTATTATAGATTGCAGATAGCACTCCCCTGTTTATAAGAGAAGGACAAACTCCCCAGTAGAACACTGCAAACCCTCATCTTCCCTCTTCTGTGATCTTTCCAACCTCAGGCTTGCTGTTCTCCACAATCACTGATCTCCCATAGGCTGCAGTCACTCTTGCTGGCTTCCATCATGAATAAAAGTCTGGTACCAGCATATGATCCAGCAATCCCACTCCTGGGCATATACCCAGACAAAACCGTGGTTTGAAAAAATACATGCACCCCTATTTACAACAGCCCAAACATGGAAACAACTTAAACACCCATCTACAAATGAATGGATAAAAAAGACATGGAATGTATATATAATGGATTACTTAGCCATAAAAAGAATGAAATAATGTCATTTGCAGTAACATGGGTAGACCTAGAGATTATCATACTAAGTGAAATAAGTCAGAAGGAGAAAGACAGACAGAGAGAAAGACCAATGCCATATAATATCACAAATACCATATAATGTCACTTATATGTGGAAGCTAAATATGACACAAATGAAACAGAAACAGATTCACATATACAAAGAATAGACTTGTGGTTGCTAAGCAGGAGGGCAAGGGGAGGGAAGTATTGGGAGTTCAGGATTAGCAGATGCAGACTATTATATATTATATGGATAAACAATAAAGTTCAACTGTATACCACAGGGAACTGTATTCAATATCTTGTGATAAGCATAATGGAAAAGAATAGGAAAAAGAATATACATGTATAACAGCATCACTTTGCCATACAGCAGAAATCTACACAACATGGTAAATCAAATGTTATTTCAATAAAATTTCTAGAAAAAGGAAAAAAAAGTTTGATGCTGGACATTAGCTGTGGCTCCTATTTGTCTCAGAATCCCTAAGCCACCCCACTCCACACATGGCCAGGGTCATTTGCTTACACACTTAGCATCCACACAGTTTCACTCACGCATCAGTCCCACAGCTGCAGACAAAAGTTCTTTTCTGCTTTCCACTTCCCGGCTCTTAGAATGGCAGGATGGGATAACAGGGAAAAGAATAGGGCCTCAAAGTCAGAGGGACGTGGGTTCCTTTCCTTATCTGCCACTCATTAACTGTGTGATCTTGGGCAAGTTTCTTAAGGGCTCTGTATCCTCATCTGTAAAACAAGGTTAGTAAAACTCACATCCATTCAGTTTTGTGAAGCTTGGCATAAAGTAAAGCAGTAGTTGTGGCGGCTAACTTTGCGTCAGCATTGCGCGGACGCCTGGAGCCACAATAGGTGAGAACTAAGATGCTTTAGAATGTGACCCTGTAGCAGGGGCCCCTCACATGACCCCGAGATGCCAGACAGTGTCTCTCTCCCCGCCCAGGGCGTGTGCAGGTCCGCTGACCCGTCTTTCCAGTCACCCCACACTCCGGGTCTGTGATCATGCACCCCCCACCCATAGCTGAGCCTGACGCGTTGGCTCATGCGCCTTTCCGCCGCAGCCTCTTGCCACGGACCACACGTCTCATCCTCGGCGCCTGGCCCCGCCCCCCGCCCCAGGCGCGCCCCTTCAGCTTGCCCACTCCTGGTCTGAACGGCCGCGCCCGCGGGCCGTAAGCTCCGACTGGCTGCGCCGCGGAGGTGGGCGGCCCGTAGGCGCACACACCCTCCCCGCACAGCCAATGGGCGTGCGCGCGTCACTGACCCGGCGGCCCGCGAGCCGGCAATCCCTCAATAAGCCACATTGTTGCACGAAACTCCAGCACAGGAGTCCCAGGCCGCCGCTAGCACCGCCGTGACACCTAGCCGAGAGGATCCGCGGGCGAGCGCAGCCCACGTATGAGCCGGAGAGGTCCGGTCGCACTAGTGAAGCCGGACTTCGATTCTTTCTCAAGTTGAGCCTTAGTGATCTTGTGGCTGAAGTTAGAACTTTGACAGTGGGACATCCCAGCAAGTCGCCGGGAGTGACTCTTGGTCTCCTTTCAGCAGTTGCGACTACCAAAACCTGTTTTTAGAGACCCGAAACCCTCCAGCCGGGCGCGCCATCGTGTGCTTTCTTTGTGTGCTTCCCGGACTCACCAATCCCGGCCGCCAAGCCCAGGTACAAAGCGGTCCGACCGCGCCGCTCTCCTACCCCGCACGCGCTCCGGCCTCGGTTTCCCAACTCTGTTCCGTCGGGAGTTGGCAGGATGATTGCCTCACATCTGCTCGCCTACTTCTTTACGGAGCTCAACCACGACCAAGTGCAGAAGGTAAGTGAGCGCGGGAGGGGCGGCTGGCTCTTCTCCGAGGACATTACTTTGTCCGCGGGTCTCTTGCCGGGTTCCGGCCGGCTAGGAATCTCCTCTTAGACCGTGCGGGGACCCGCCTTCTCCCCATTCTGGGCCGCGGACGCGGAAAATAGCAGGACGGCGGGGAACAGCCCAGGGCTGGAGGAGCCACGTCCGCTAGGCACCGGCCGGCGTGTGCGCGCGTGCGAGGCTCCGGGGCTCGAGCACCGCGCGCCGCTCCCTCTCTGCTATCCCGAGCGCGCTCGCGCTCGCGCTCGCCGCCACCCCCCGCCCCTGGAGGGGGCGGGCCACCCTGCACGTAGTCTGTGACTGCTGGCTCCACGTGGGAGGAGCCCCCCTTTCGCAGCGTGTGTTCCGGCCAGAGCACGTGGGGAGAATCGTGGCGGGTTTGGGGGAGAAGACTCGGCTCCCGCGCTAAAGACGGCATTTCGGGGACCTACGATTCCCTCTAGCGTTCCTCACGGCCTCGTGGGAAAAGATCACACGGGAAAAAGCTGGGAAACGGGCAGAGAAACTTCTCCCGCCGCGCCCCTTTTCCGGAACTGAGGAGCCCGGAACCGAGGCTCCGCTAGGGACGTACGCCCCCTCCTCCCCTCATCCCCCAGCGCCGGGCTCCGGACCGCCCCGCCTCGAGTACCCTAGCCCCGGGCCCGCCTCCAAATGGGGGGCGGACTTTGGATATTACTTTTGGTGTTCCCAAAAGTTTCTCCAAGAGGACCAACTCCACAACCCCCTCGTTCCTTTGCCGTCTTCCTGGGGATTTTTGTCGTTCTAGAAAGGAGCTTTTTCCAGTTGTAGGCCTCGACCTGTCTGCCCACTTTCTCTCTCAGCAGTGCCCCCAAATCCGAGCTCTTGCTCGGGCCGGGTCTTTTACCTAAAACGAACCTCCTGCCTCGCCGGGGAGCCTGGCTCTCTGTGCCTCTGGGTATGGAGTGGGGGTGGGGCTAGCCAGGGCCCGAGGCGCTCTCTGGGGGAGAATTGAGTTTCTGAAATGCTCGAGATTGCGGGATTGGCTCCTACCCTGGGCCTCAGCTAGGATTTGAGACGAAGGGGTGGGCGGGGGTGGAGGGTGTCTAGATCTGTGAGTCAATGACGGAACGTTGCTCAATTACATACTTGAAATTTCTGTCTTAGTGGGAACACATTTTGGGGAAAATGTTTTGACATTATCTTTCTGTGGGGTGACCTGCTCATACTCTCTTTCTGGTTGATCCTGAGAGCGAAGGAGAGGATGGTGGGTCGCCATCTCAGTGTTTTCAGAGCCGTGGCAGATGAATTCCAATATAACATGAAGTTTCCTAGCCTCAAACTGGAGTAGGGAGCAGACGGCAGCTGGTTTAGTTGAGTTTTACTCTGCTTATAAGTGACTGTTGCTCTCTAACTCAATCCGGGGATGAGGCTCAGCACTTTAATTTCGTTTATTTAAGTACCTGTCTGTCAGAGGCAGACTCTTAGCCTTGAGCTTATTTGCCCAAGAAGTGAGTTAACCCTTGTGGAAGACTATCATTTCTTGGCAAGTCCTAGAATTCAAAGCTTGGTGTTGTTTAGTCACCCAAGTCGTGTCCGACAGTTTGCAACTGCAGGATGTCAGGCTCCTCTGTCCTTCACTGTCTGCCGGAGTTTGCTCAAATTCATGTCCATTAAGTTGGTGATGCTGGGGCTTCCCAGGTGGCTCAGTGGTAAAGAATCCGCCTACCAATGCGGGAGACGCAGTAGATGTGTAATTCCTCTAAATTTAGGTAATTCCTCTAAATTACCTGAGTCGGGAAGACCCCCTGGAGGAGGAAATGGCAACCTGCTCCAGTATTCTTGCCTGGAAAATTCCACGGACAGAGGAGCCTGGTTGTAACCTCAGTCCGTGGGGTAGCAGAGTTGGACACTACTAAACAACTAAACATGCATGAATTGGTGATGCTATCTTACCGTCTCATTCTCTGCCACCGCTTCTTTTGCCTTTAGACTTTCCCAGCATCAGGGTCTTTCTGATGAGTTGACTCTGCATCAGGTGGCCAAAGGAGCTTCAGGTTCAGCAGCCCGCCTTCGGATGAATATTCAGGGTTGATTTCTTTTAAACTGGAAGGTTATTAATTCAGGGGCGGTCTTCTCAGTTGGGTGAAATATTGCCCCAGGACTTCTAAATTTACTCACTCCTTGTACAGCGAATGGAACCTAGGTCCACAAATTTACCCTCCCGCAAGCCAGAGGATGAAAGCTAGGACTGGAACCGTACTGGCCTGGAATGGGGAGTGGTCATCCCTTTAGTCCCAGATTGTAAAGAGAATTACCCAGGATATGTAGAAATGAGTTCTAATCTCTGTTTTGTGGTTTATTAACCACAGGACCCTGAGCAAGTCACTGTGCTTCTTTGGACCGCCAACTTTTTTTTTTGTAAAACAAGGACCATGAACCTCAAGTTTCTCCACTTTAGGAAGTTGTGATGATTAAGCACAACAATGTAAAAAGTTCTTTATTGTGGGTTTCTCTGCACTTGAAGCTAGCTGCCTTTCAGCGGGTGAAGTGTCTCAGGGACACTTGGGTGTATTTCCTCTAAATTACCAGTGGGGGCAGAATTGAGTCAGGCCTTAACTCAGCAGTTGCGGAAGCTGGAATTTAGTCTCCCAGTTTAGGTGAGCAGTAAAAAAGTTGGAGAAAAAAAGATGAGAGTGAAAAAGTTGGCTTAAAACTTAACATTCAGAAAACTAAGATCATGGCATCCAGTCCCATCACTTCATGGCAAATAGATGGGGAAACAATGGAAACAGGGTTCCAAAATCACTGCAGATGGTGATTGCAGCCATCATATTAAAAGACGCTTGCTCCTTGGAAGAAAAGCTATGACCAACCTAGACAGCATATTAAAAAGCAGAGACGTTACTTTGCCAACAAAGGTCCGTCTAGTCAAAGCTATGATTTTTCCAGTAGTAGTGTATGGATGTGAGAGTGGACTATAAAGAAAGCTGAGCGCTGAAGAATTGATGGTTTTGAGCTGTGGTGTTGGAGAAGACTCTTGAGAGTCTCTCGGACTGCAAGGAGATCAAACCAGGCAATCCTAAAGGAAATCAGTCCTGAATATTCATTGGAAGAACTGATGCTGAAGCTGAAACTGCAATACTTTGGCCACCTGATGCAAAGAGCTGGCTCATTGGAAAAGACCCTGATGCTGGGAAAGACTGAAGGCAGGATAAGAAGGGGACAACAGAGGATGAGATAGTTGGATGGTATCACCAACTTGATGGACATGAGTTTGAGCAAGCTCTGGGAGTTGGTGATGGACAGGGAAGCCTGGCGTGCTATAGTTCATGGGGTCGGAAAGAGTCAGACATGACTGAGCAACTGAACTGAATTGAACTTAGGTGAGCAAAGCTATTTGATTCCAGCAGCATTTAGGAAATAGGAAGCAAATCAGTGACAATATTTTGGGAACATCTTTTAAACCATGTCTCTTACATCTCCAGCATTGGCAGGAAGGTTCTTTATCGCTAGTGCCGCCTGGGAACATAGAGCAGTGACTCTTAACTCTTAAAAGTTGATCTTTGAAGGAAGAATTAGGAGAGAAGGTTGAAGCTTGAATTTTAGAGTTTTTTGAAAAGGCCTTGATTTGAACTCTTCTGAAATCCCTATCATTTTATATATTCTGAGTTGTAGTCTGAGGCAGGGAAAGTTTAGATTCATCTGCCCAAAACTAGCCCCATCGGAATCACTTGTCTCCTGATAGACAAGTCCAGTGTTTTGTGCTGTTAGGAGAGGAAGGGTTATTTGCTCACTTTTGCTAATTTGACAGTTTGAAACTCAAGAGCAAACACATATAGCATCTACTGTGTACCAGGCAGTTTTAAGCTCTTTACATCTCTTATTAGCATTTGCTCTTTACATCTGCTCATTAACATTCACAGCAACACCATGAAGTAGAAACTATTATCAGCATTCCTGTTTTACTGGTAAGCAATTGAGGCACAGGTGACTTGTTCAAGGTCACTAACTTTTTCGTAAGAGCAGGGAATTGAAGCCAAGCCAGTTGGGTTCCAGAGGTCCTTGCTCATGACCATACTCCCTGCCTCTGGGGCTGCCTCTGGGACCATTAGAAGACTCCATCCTGGTCTGTGTCTGTGTTCACGTTTGGATGCTGGCAGCACCTTCATCCAGCATGTCCCGGAATGCAGCCAGCTCTCCTCTTGGTCAGATTAATGGCACCCGTGCTCTCTGACTTTTCTGGTCGGGATCCCTGGACTCATCTAACTGCCTTTCCTTTCTGATCGCTATACCTTTGTCAGCTGGTCTCTGGGTTACTTCAGAGGCCTCGTGGGGCTTGTTTCCAGTCTCTTTCTAGAGTTGGACTAGATCATTTCGGAAGGCTTTTAAAACCTTGTACTATAACTTTATATGTGGAATCTAAAATATGACACAAATGAACTTATTTATGAAACAAACAGACTCACAAAGAACAAACTTATGGTCACCAAAGGGGAAAGGGGTGGGGAAGAGTAAATTAGGAGTTGTGGTTAGCAGATACAAACTATATATAAAATAGATAAACAGGGTCCTATTGTATAGCACAGGAACTATATTCACTATGCTGTAATAGGGCTTCTCTGGCGGCTCAGTGGTAAAGAATCCACCTGCCAGTGTAGAGGCCATGGGTTTGATCCCTGATCCCCTAAGACCCCACATGAAGCAGAGCGACTAGGCTCACTCACCACAACTGTGAGGCTGCGCTCGAAAGCCCGGGAGCCACACCTGCTGAGCCCATGTGCTGCAGCTCCTGAAGCCTTCACGGCCTAGAGCCCGTGCTCCGCCACGAGAGAAGCCACAGTGATGAGAAGTCCAGATACTGCATCTAGAAAGTAACGCCTGCCGCCTGAAACTGGAGAAAAACCTGTGCAGTGTCAAACAGCCAGCATGACCAAAAATAAATAAATAAATAAATAAATAAGTGCTTTAAACAATATCCTATAGTAAATCAT